TGGGTAAACTAGGGTGTGAGGGGGCCCCCCTCTAGGGGAAGAGAAGCTTTCTTCTTCAAGATCTACCTGCTGTGTCCAGAAAAGAATGAGCAACGTGGATTTCTTTTGATCCTTCCAGCTGGGAATTCCTTCAAAATTCCCTTTCCCACCTCCTCTATTTTGGAGCCAAGGGCTTTGGGATGAGTTTGTTACCCAAACTGTTCTTGGGGTAGAGGAAAAGGGATAAAATGGCATTTCTTCAAGAATATGCACTGGTCTATCTTATTCCTCCTATAACGCTGTTATCCATTTTTGCCTTGATTAAATAATTAGACTGTTTCTCTGCTACTGTTTACCCGTGTCTTTTAATGTGATGATTGGCTAAATAATCAGACCAAAAGTAACTTCCGATTTTCCCACATTTTTCATACTGGATTACAGTAGGTCAACCAAGAACATAAAATACCAATTGAAAGCCTCTACATTTGAACCCAGCTCTATGGGGGGAGGGGTGTTATGGTTATTCAATTATTTCAGTCATATCCGACTCTCTGTGATCTTACTTGAGATTTTCTCAGCAAAGACACTGGAGTGGTTTGCCATTTCCTTCTCCACCTCATTTGACAGATGAGGAAACTGAAGCAAGCAGAGTTGAGTGACTTGCCCAGGGTCACCTCGCTAGTAAGCATCTGGGGCCAGATTCAAAGCCATCTGCACTCCAGGCCCAACACTCTATCCACTGTGCCACCTAACTGCCCAATGCAATCTTTAGGGACAGAGACTAGAAATTGCATACCTTCGTGGAATAAAATAAGTGGTCTGAAACCTACCTACTTTAATGCCATTAAGGTCATATTTTTCTCAGTTGATGAAATAGCTCTCTATCAACCTAAAGCAATGCAACACTCCCAACTAGGAAACAAGATGTTTAAATCCAAATCAGTCCTTTAATGGCCTTCATCCAGTAGACAAGTCAATAAGTATTCTGTAAGCAGTTACTATTTGGCAGTGAGGAAAACAAAGACAAAGCAAAACAGTTCTGGTTCTCAAGGAACTCACATTCTAATGAGAGAGACAATGTATGTACGGGCGGAAAGTAGGCTTAAAGAGGGCCACAGGGCAGCTAGGTGGGGGTAGGGAGTGGAACTGCCTGCTCATCCAGTTGGCATTTGAACTGAGTCTTAAGGAAGTGAGGGATTCTAAGAAATGAGGGTGAGGAGGGAAAGCCTCCTAGGCACAGGGGATAACCCCCGTAAAGAAGAGGACCCCAGAAATAAGGCATATAATGTATGAGAAGTAGTAAGTTGGTCTTGTAACAAGTAAGCTGTAGCCCATGGCTAGACCATGGAGGAAAAGTGTGTTAAAAGGCCAGAAAGGTAGGAAGGGACCAGGCTGTAAAGGGCTCTAAATGCCCAACAGAAGAATTCATAATTTATCCTAGAGTTAATAGTCACTGGAACTTATTGAGTAGGGGAGGATGGCCAAGATTCATAATCAACCTTCAGGAAAATAATGTTACGGTGCCAGACGTGGTATTGTATGCCTGCAATTCACACTATTGGAGCGGTTGATGCTACTGGATCACTTGAACTCAGTTCTGAGCTGTAGTAGGGGTAAACTATCTGGAGGTTACATTATGTCTAGCACCAGTACAGAGAGCCTCTAGGAATGGGGAGGGCACCAGGCTGCCCATGAAGGGCAAATTGGTCCAGAGCAGATGAAAGTGATGGGGTATGGGACCTGAACACCTAAAAAAAGGGAAAGATTCTTAACTTTCTCACCCACTTCAGCCCTGGCATATCCCTGAGGCATCTGGCCCATTTCAGTATAATCCTTTCAACTGTCCTTTCATTGCAAACCTCTGACCCAGCCCAGCCCTTCTTTCTCTGTTACCTCTGGACCATCCCAGGCTACTTGCCACTCCATAATCCCATCAAGATCTTTTCACTGACCATTTTTTTTCCCTTTCTCTGTATAAAAGTTTCATTCTCACTTCCATTCACTAGGAATCTCACCTGCCCAAGCAGTGTCATAATAAACTCACTGCTTGGACTGAAAGAGGATTTCAGTGGTTGAATTCTTTTGAGGAAGACCTGCCCTGTACCCTTGCATTTCAGGGTTCCTATCACCCCTAGACTTGCATCAAAAATACCTACGCTGATGAGTAGAGTGTTCAGAACCATGAGTCGCCACTCTTTTTCTAGATTGGGTGAGATAAGACAAAGAAGAAGGGAGAGGAAAGAAGAGGGGAGGAGAGGACAGGAGAGGAATGGAAAGGTGGGAATGGGAGGGGAAAGGAAAGGAGGGGAGGGGAAAAGAAAGGAAGAGAAAGGGGGGGAAGGAAAGGGAAGAGAAGGAAAAGGAAGGAAAGGGAAGGGAAGGGAGACAATATTCAATGGTTTAGCAATAAGAGTAATTATGATAATAACCTCTGAATGCTAGAAAAGTTCTTCAATTTCATAGAATCTGTGAACTTGTCTAGTTCAAAAGTGACTCTCTCTTCTCCAAATCAGTGTCCACACCTTGCTAAAGGTCCTGGTAGCACCTGAAGGGTACCTACAGTTAGGAGTCATCATATGGGTGGTGAACCAACAAAGAAGTCTGAGGAGCAGTCAATCCCATAGGAGAGTAGAGTCTTCAAAGATTGCAGAGGAGACAACACAAGGTACTGGACTGTCATCTTCTTAAAAGGAGGGAATTTCCACACCACAGGATTACCTTCACTGCTGAAATCTCCAGCCCAGTCCAAAATAAAACAAAACCCCACCTCATTCCTCTATTTCCAATTAAATATTTTGAACAATAGATCCTTTAATAAAGAACATTAAACATCAGTCAGACAAGGTTCTTAGATGAGGAGGTAGGGATAGGGGGAGAAATGAGAAATTCAAGAGGGGATGGAAAAGGGTTTGAAGAACCCCTATGGTAAGCGGGCTAGTGAGATAATTAGAGATGTATAAAGGGCCTAATGTAGCTTTTAAGTTTGTAGTAGAGGGGCGGCTAGGTGGCACAGTCAGGAGGACCTGAGTTCAAATCCAGCCTCAGACCAAACACTTGACACGTACTAGCTGTGTGACCCTGGGCAAGTCACTTAAACCCAATTGCTAAAAATAATAAAAAACAAACAAACAAACAAATAAGTTTGTAGTAGACCCAGTCAACAAGTTTTCATGATTTTCTCCAGCTTCATTCAGCAGCTGATGGGAAGAACACAATCAGCAAATGGTGGGAGTGATCCAAGGCTGAAGCTTGGCAAGAAAAGATCAACGATATGAGAATGGATCAAGGGACTCAAGAGAAAAGAACAACATTGAGTAGAAATGATTCACCAAGGTGTCAAGATGGGGAAATGAGAGTATAGCTAATATGAAGGTGATGGATGGTTTGAGGCACTGGAGGAGACATTGTGGATGACAAGCAGGTTTTGGGGTTGGAAGGCAGAGGGAGAGGTGGAATGATAATAGATTGTGATAAGATAAGGGAATTTCAGAGCATGAACATGGAAGTTGAACATTTATGGGTGATGGCAAGATCAAAGATTGACTATCTTTGTGCTTGATGTGGGGTTGTGGGAATTAAATAAATTATGGAACTGGAAGGTTAGGGTGTTTGTGGGAATATTATTATATATGTTGGAGTCTTCTAGTAGGAAGGCAGGAGTTGGGAAAGAGAGAAAGATTGTGGGTCAGGCACTGAACTCATTGAAGAAAGAATGGGCTCCTTCTAGTGGTCAGTAAACATCAGCTAACCGAATTTTAATTGAGTAGTAGGTGTGGATTAAGTGAATCTTAAAGGAGAGGTTATTGGGTGATGATGATAAAGGGAGAATCTGGAAGCGGCAATGGGGAGCAAAGAATATTCCAACTTCCCTATCTTGATCTGTCACTAAGGTGACATGTCAATATGAGATATGAGTGACAGTGCAGTGCCAGAAAGGGCACAGAAGGAGACTGTGTCATCAGTAAGGATCCAGGTCTCAGTGAGAACCAGAAGATGGAAGGAATGGGAAAAGAAAAGATTTAAGATGAAAACAAGTTTGTTGCCTTTGGAGCAGGCATTCTAGAGGGTACTGTGGAAGGTGTGAGTAGCTTTTGGTTAAGACTTTAATTGGGGGTGGTGGTGAGGGGAATGAAAACAAGGGATCCAGCAATGGGGGAGAGAGAATAGGGTTTGAATGATTAACAATGAAAGTTCAGACTCATTGGGATGGAGAGAGTATGAGCAGGGAAAACTTTGTTAAACATTAAGGAAGACTTGAGATTTTCCAAGCCCATAGGATTTTGGCCTCAGGGTAGAGTCCTTCAGGAGTCTTAGGCAGTTGGAGCAAATTCTTGGAGCACAAGGAAGGATTACTTTCCCTCCCCAAGGGAGGGGAATCAAGCTGGAGAACTGATCAAATATGTTTCTTCTCCCACGTTCAGAAGTAAGATATTGGGGCACTGGTGATCTGGGAAAATCTCTAATTTTATAAAATATGCAACAGTTGCTTAGCTACATTTTTATGGAGAGTTTCCACATTGTGAGACTCCTACACTGAGGAAATTTTGGGTCCAGAGAAAATCCTGTCCCCTTTCCTCTAACAATAAAAATCACATTTTTGATCATAGCCCTACTTCCCTCAGTCCAAAAATTAATCTGGATTCTAAAATATTTATCAGATCTTACCCAAGAGGTCTTACCCAACAGTTCTTACCAAAGTGGAAAGACTTTCTTCCCTTGTGACTGACTGTGGCTGTCACTTGAGTATCATCCCGGCTAAGCATTTCAAGAAGGAAGCATTTCACTACCAGAGGATTAAGAACTACAGGGATGGTTAGCCATGGAAACCAATACAGTGTGGAGAGGTTGTGGTCTACAAGAGTAAATGGAGTGCACATTATGAATGAAATCCACATTTCTCAAAATATCAAAGTAGGCAAGAACACAAAATTAGTTATGACATAGAAATACTATGCCCAAAAGGTGTTAAGTGGATTAATTTCTAAAAGGGAAGGCACTTGTGAAGATAAACAAAACAACAGTCACATAGAAATAGATTTATTAAAGCTGAACTGGATATTAATTAGGAAATTGTCAAAATGGGTATCTGACTACTTTTGTATCCTTTAATTCAAAATGGTAAAAAGGCAGATCTTTTTCTGAATTATGACAGTCAGTCCTTGGGTAAATACCTTCTCTTTTCCCTTTCTATACTCAGCTTTTTAATTACCTTCAAGTTATTTAATAAAGCTTCTTGTACTGAATTATGGAAATGTGCAATTTACATCCATGTCAATTTTTTGAGGTTAGGAATTGTTTCATTTTTGCTTTTGTAACCCAAGTAACCAGCATAGTGTCTAGTACAGAGAATACAATAGATAATTTCTCACTGAATTGAATTGGTTAATTTAAAATATACATATATACTTCAAAGTGGAATGAAGTAAGCTACACCATGTGATGAGACAGACTTTTGTTTAACAGGTTTTACTCACTTTTTTAAATGCTGTATTCAAAAGTATCCATCTCCTTTGAAATATAAAAGCACGAAAGAAAGAAGGTAAGCATGTGCTTTCTGTGGAGTAAACATACCTTGGAAAGCTTTATTATCAGTACTTCACAAAAAGATAATGTCTGCTTATAAGATATTATGGTAGCATCATCTTAAGCCATACACTGCCTAGCCTAGCTCTCTGAAAACAAATGATTGGAATCTTCTTAACGCCTTTGACACAAAGATATTGGGAGTGTCCTTTAAAATTCCACTTCAGTCAAAAGCAATAAAAGCTTAAAACATTTATCTGATGTTTTAGTCCAGTGTAACTCCCTTTATAAAGATTAAAACAACAACAATAACAACATTACCACCTTCTGCCCCAGGTAAATTGAATTATGGTAGTGACAACTTTAATTTACTTTTTTGGAAAGTGTAGTCCAATGTACTTTATTTCTCTTTTGAGCATGACCCACAGGAGACAGTCACACAAGCTGTACCATAATTATATAAAAATGAAATCTCAGTCTAGCATGTATTCATGTGTACTTCCAGTCACATAGGACCTCAAAATGTCAGGATTGTTCGAATGCTGAAATAGAAAACATAAGTTCCTGCTAATAGCTTGTTTCCATATCTTCTAATCATGAGTAATTTATAAACAGATCTTTCTTAAAATTGTTATAAATGTCTTTCTATCCAGTATGCCTGTAGACAGAAATTGAAGAGATTCTGTCTTATCACAGCGCCCTTTCTCCCATCATGCATTTTCTGTGTCTGAGAGGCATTATGGATTCCATCTGGTATAGGAAGTTTCTCTTGTTATATTTACAAGGATCAGTGAGACCATTTTGGTTTAAGATCCAAGTCATTCACTGTTTCTATCCACACTCTGCCTTCATCTTCCTAGGAACATCAGGGTCCAATATTAAGAACTCTCAATATCGGTACACATATAGGATATTATCTCATAAGATCTAGCTTAGAGATCTTAGAAGTCCTTGAGTCCAGTCCCATCACCTTACAGAGGATGAAACTGAGGTGCAGAGAGATGTAGCTGCCCAAGGTCACATTAATGGTAAGAGGCAGCTCTAGAACTCTTATTACAATGAACTCAGGTGACATCACCAAATTGGACTTCAATTTTGTGAGGGAAACAGGACTACTCAGTGAATGAAAACAGGTACAAAATACCAAGGAAAACATTATTTTCATTTAGGACAATGAAATATTAATCTTATAATGATTTTTATTCTGTGGGAACCAGAGCTAGAAAAAAAAATCCTATATCCAAGATAGTAAGTGCCCAAATATTACATTATGGAAATTGAATTTTTCATATGAAAGTTACATACCACTCTCCATTGTTGAGCAGATCAAATCCTTCATTGATTTTATTAATAGGTAAAACATGGGTTATTAACTGGTCCAAGTCAAATTTCTTTGCCATGAAATCAGACACTAGTTTTGGGAAGTCATCTTTGAGTTTCCAACCTTAAAAATTTAAGACCAGTGTTTCACTATGTGTAAAATATTCAAAGACAGTCCACAAACATTTATTAAGTACTTACAATGTGACAAACATGAATGGAGGGGAGAAGCATGCATAAAGGAAGGCAAAAAAAATTGCTACATGAATTTCTAATTAATTTATTAAATTTTGAAATGGGGCAGGCACATCTGGTTCTTTGGGTACTTGCTAGGAAAGACCATGATGGCAGCAGGAAGTGAGGCTGCAATCACACTTTAATAAGGCACAGAGGGCTAAGGGGTGGGCATCACAGAATATAGAGATGAGTGGCAAACACAGGTACAAAGGTAGATGGCATAGGGACAGGGATAAGGTAGCGGAGGAAGGCAGATAAAGTAGGGCTCAGGATGGGGAGGGGAAGAAGCACCAATGATCACTCACATAACCATGGATTAGAATTGGGAGCGCTCAGCAGCATGGACCCAGAAAGAGACGGAAGAGAGTTCAGGGGGCAGGAGTTTGGGGTCTCATTTTTATAGGTTTTTCTGGGAGAATAGACCAATTTTTATCAATGCCAGCTTGGAATTAGTTTATTAACATATCCAAATCACCTAAAAGTTGTCAGTGAAACTTTAAAGCTAACATATCCGGGTCATCTCAAAGTTATCAGTAGCATTTGGTATTCTGCTACTCTTACAGTGGATGTCCAGAACTTGTCTGAGATTTACATATGATAGGACCCAAATGCCATGACAACACAACCTAGATGTCTTTTCTTGATTTATCACATATGACCAGGATGTGATTTTGTTTAATATATAATACAATTTGCAAATTATGCCCCCTTGATCTTTTGCATGGTTTGTATGTGACCTCTAGTTTCCCCTGGATTGCAAAAGGATATTAAAAGTCAAATTCTAAGACTTGTCTGTATTCAGGCTTTACTCTATTGCCTGATCCAGGTGATCTGCTCTCAGCTACCCCCTCCTCCAGCAGCTGTAGCAGACTGAAACTCAGCTTGTTCTGATCTATCCAGGACAACACCATACAGCAGAAATGTTGCTGGCCTTGGGGATAGGAGACTGGTGAACCGATATTTACAAGCTACATGATTATGGGGAAATTATTTAACCTCTCTGAGCTTTAGTTTTCTATGTAAAATAGGGACAATACTTGTGTTACATGTCTTAAAGAATTTTTGTAAAAGAAACAAACTTTTTTATTTTATTTTTAATTTACGGAATAAAACAAGCATTTCCATAACAGTATAATAAAAAAGATGATTGCACGTGAAACTGCAAATCTATTATGTACAACTTGCTATTCCTTTTAAATATATAATAAAATTGTTGTGTAAATTTCTTTTTTTTAACTTTTAAACACTTTTTATTTAAATATAAAATTTATTTAAGTATATTAATTTATTATTATTATATGATTAACTTAAATATATTGTTTGTTTAAATATATAACAAAATTGTTGTGCACATTTCTTTTTTTAACTTTTAAACACTGTACAAATAAGAGTAATGATTATGAGGTTTACTCCTCTGTCATGGCATAAATTTACAGCCTTTCGTATTTAACGATTTATCCTAATTTTGAAATTGAAAGTGCTGTTTAGCAGTCTAGGAAATGTGTGTGCAAGGTCCCACAGACATTGCACATAGTCATAAAGGAAGTTAACTTCCAGCTAGCTACATGAATGAATGTAATTGAATATTATTGTACTATAAGAAATTATCGTTATGAAGACTACAGAGGTTACACTGACATATAAAATAATGGAAAACAAGTAAACAAAATCAAGAAAATGACATACAATGACAATACAAACGGAAAGTATGTTCTCTCTCTTACACACACACACACACACACACACACAACCACACACACATGCAAGCTGAATGCTATGTAATTAAAATATCAAAGCTACATCCCCTAGGAGAAGTGAGAAAACACACTCCATATCCCTTCATTGAGGGCATGGGATTTGGGGGCAGGGGTGACTATTGATGTGGAACATTCCATACACTGTTAAGATTCGGTTGACAGCTTAGTTTTATTGAATTACCTCCTCACTTCCTCTCTCCTTAACCTTTCTTGTTTTTTGTTAAATTTAAAGCATTTGCCTGCAACATAGCAAATATAAATAAATGATATATAAAATATCAATTAAAACAAATTATTTTTAAAATAAATAAATAGTATAATATAATAAATTTTAATAAACATAATATAAATTACATAATAAATATAAATGTTAGTTATTATCATTATATGGTGGAGGTATGTATTTGAAAATGAAGTTAATCTAAAAACACTATCAATAAAAATTAAAAAGAACATTTAGCTACAAAAATGCATTCTAGGAAATTTTTTTCTATGGGCTCTAATTCAGAGCGAACTAAACTCTTTGAAAACTCAAGAGGTGCTGGTATTGAGATATCAGTCAGTATAAGACCTGGGTATTGGGTTTTTTCACTCTTCAACGTTCTCTTCAAATTTCTCCTGTAGTTTGTTCTTTAAACTTCACTCAAAGAATCAGCCTTTCGTCAGTGAAATATTTTAAAAATATTGTGAGATATTTTCTCTCTCGGTAAACATTAGATCAAAGTGTCCAGTCTTTTTCACTCACGTGCCAACAGCCTTCTCACCCATCTTCAGACGTCTCCATCACTGTGGCCCTTCCTCTGATTGGTAGTTTCCTGCCTAGAAGCACTAAGAAGCCAGGCCAATCATATTCATGCATCTCCTGGGTCCACTTATAACCCTCTGGACTTTTCCACCTTGTCCCCTGCATCCCCACATCTTTCAGCTTCCTTTTCATGTGTTCTCATCTTCCATTAGAATATATGTTTTTTGAGGGAAGGTGATGTACATGATCCCCCTTGTCTTTGTATTCCTAAAAGAATGCCTAGCATACAGTCAGTGTTTAATAAAATCTTCATCTATCTAACTGAGTGAAAACTCCTCATTTCTCAGCTACATACCTCCCAAAAAACATCCTTTCCAGGTGCGTCCAGTGAGCAGCAGCATGGGATCATAGGTGAGCATTTTAGATGATGGAAGAATTCCTATGATCACGCTGATTCCATGGCTTGGATGGCAGGAAGCCAGGGCATCAACCTGATATTCAAATGAAAGTGACAATATACTTATAATATCTATCAGAAAGGGATCGATCCGTGGTCTATTGCCACCAATATGTACATTTGCCCAAATTAATGAATCAAAAAGCACCTATTCAATGCTTATTATTTACCAGGCAAATTTCCTCTCCTCTCTTCTTCTCCCCTCCCCTCTCCTCTCCTCTCCTCTCTCTCCTCTCCTCTCCTCTCTCTCCTCTCCTCCTCTCCTCTCCTCTCCTCTTCTCCTGTCTTCTTTCCTTTCTACTTTCCTCCCCTTCTCTACCTCCCCTTTCCTCTCTCCCTCCTTCCTTCTTTCTTTTTTCTTCCCTCCTTCCTTCCTTCCTTCCTTCCTTCCTTCCTTCCTTCCTTCCTCCTTCCTTCCTCCCTCTACTATTCTCTTTTCCCTTCTCCTCTCCTCCTTTTTTCTCTCCATCTCTCTTGCCTCTCTCTCTCTCCATAATTCTATCTTTCTCTGTATGTCTCTATGTAATTCTCTGCCCATCTGTCCCTCAGTTTCTCTGTTTTTCTTTGCCTTTACCTCTGTCAACCTCTCTCTCTCTGTTCTTCCCCACCCTTGTTCAATTTACTAGGCACATAGCATTCAATTACTGAGCTGGATACTATCATCATTTTCAGCGACCAGTGTTGACTAGCAACTATCTAGAAATTGATTCGATTTATTATTACCATCATCATCATCATCATCATCATCATCATCATTATTACTATTATTAAAGTTAATAATAACTACAATCCAAACATTGTAATCCTGTAAAAGTATAATTATGTTATTATTTTCTTGGTAATAAATCTACATGGTATTAGGTAAGAGATGAAGCAAAGCCAGCCGATAAGGGCAATGGTCACTAATTAGAAATTATACCTAGGTAACAAAAGATAATCAACAGTTGTTTTCTAGCCAACAATGATCATCAAGGACTTTGGGCCAACCCTCCATATCCTCCTATTCCTCACCAACTCCACTCTTAGGTCAGCACTTAGTTGGAATCACAACAAACACACTAACTGAATATCTTCAAAAAGGGATTTCCCCTTCTGTTAGGGACCCTGAGGGCAGGACTCACAGTGCTAATCTGAATATCCATTTACTCAGGATGATTTACACATCAGCGAACAGAAATCCCCACGGGGAAAGTGAGGACCAGTAAAAGGGTATGAATTTCTTGGAAGAATTTGTAAGGTTTTCAAAAAGTCCCATGCCTTCTCTTTCCTCCTCAACTTTCAGATCATATAAATGGGATCACTTTTCTTCTCCTTAGGCAGCTGGTGACATGATGGATAGAATGCTAAGCCTAGCATCAGGATAATCTGAATTCAAATCCAGCCTTAAATACTTACAAATCATATCAGTTTCCTCATCTGAAAAATAGGGATCATAATAGCATCAACCTTCTAGGGTCCAAGAGTGCAAAGCTAATAAAATGAGTAAATATTTATAAAGCATTTTGCAAATATTAAGTCACTATGTAAATGTTGTTATATTATTAAAATAAATTCATGAAGGTATATATTATCTTGAAGTACAGATTGTTTATGTCACTTCTAACTCATATGATATTATTGCAAGGCTATGCTTGACTTTGGTAATTAATCCTGATCTTACATTTTACCTATTATTGGTGAATATCTAAATTTGTTGACTGGTAGTTGAATAAGTGAAAATTGCCCTATTCCAGTCTTTGGAGCCAGCCTCAGACCATACTTCACGTTACATCTGGCCTTCCATCCATACAAAAGGGCACACACCTTGCCATTTGCCTTGATACCAAGAATCACTCCCACCCCAAGTTTTATGCATCTTTCCCTTACTTTGAGAACAAATCATCAAGGCTACCCTTGCCACTGGAAATAATGACTGTGTTCACCATCTCCTTACCTCATTCAACCAAGATGCCTTTCTCCCACTCTCTTACATGAGTTATCTCTTTCTAGCAGAATATAAGCTCCTCAACTTGGAATGACTTTCATGAACTGATACAAAGTGAAATGAGCAGAACTAGGAAAGCATTGCATGCAGTATCAGCAATATCATGGGATGGTCAACCATGAATGACTCAGCTCTTCAGCAACATAGCAATCCAAGACAAGTACAAAGTACTCACGGAGGAAAACGCTATCCACATCCAGATAAAAACTGATGGACTCTGAATGCAAAGCAAAGCATATCTCTTCGCTTAATTTATTCTTTTTTCATGTTTTTTTCTTTTAATCTGTTTCTTCTCCCACAACTGTGACTAATATGGAAATATGTTTTACATGACAGTACATGTATAAACTATATCAAACTGCCTACCATTTTCAAAAAAGACAAGGGGAGGGAGGGAGAAAATATTGGAACTCAAAATCTTGAAAAAAATGAATGCTAAAAATTTTCTTGATATGTAGTTAGAAAAAAAATAAAATACTATTAAAAAAAAAGAATCTAAACTCCTCAAGGGCAGGTATTGCCTCACTTTGGGATTTGGAGAATCCAACCCAGTGCCTACACAGAGTAGGTGCTTACTAAATTCTTTCTGCTTAATTGAAAGTGGTTTATTTAAATACAGCTTTTGTCTGTATCATATCTGAGTCCAAAGGACTCTTTCAATGAATTAAACTATTGGCCAGATTTGAACTGAGGCAGAACATTCAGTCCTGGTTCTTAATTTCTCCTTTCTAACTACTGATTACTCACCATGGTTTCATGGTGTCCAATAGCCTCAAAGGTGTACCCCACAGAATTGTCAGTCATGTCTTTCAGGACTTCGCTGATGGGCTTTGTGTAATCCTTAGGGTTGATGCACTCAGTGGCTCCTGCAGCCATGGCCCTCTCAAATTTGCGAGGGTTAATATCAATTCCAATGATCCGGGAGGCACCGGCTGCTTTACAGCCCATAATAACTGAGAGGCCAATTCCTCCCAGCCCAAAGACAGCACAAGTAGATCCAGGGGTGACCTGTGGTGATGAAAAAAAGTTCAGGATCTTAATGATTAATGATCTTAATGATTGATTCAAAAAAACTAAGACTGTAGCAAGTCTGGAAGCATGGGAAATTTGATATCTAGAGCATAACTAGCCCATTGCTACCACTGGTCAAGCGATATAATAGTAATAATAGCTATTATTTATGTAGCGCATTAAGGTTTGCAAGGCACTTTATGAATATTATGTTGCACAGATCATGACAACAACATTGAAAGTAAGGTAATACTATGATATACGTTTTACAGAGGAAGAAACTGAGGCAGATAGCAGTTAAGTGACTTTCCCAAGGTAACATGGCTAGCAAAGTGTCTGAGGCAGAATGTGAACTCAGGTCTTCCTGACTCCCAGTCCAATAGCACTCTGATCAATGTGCCACCCAGCTGCCCAAAGTGATGAAAGGATTCAAAACTCAAGCAGTGCAGAGATCAGAGAAAACACTGTTCTGTCTACTACCTCAGGAACTTTCTCTTTTTTTTTTTTTGGCTAGGCAATGGGGTTAAGTGACTTGCCCAGGGTCACACAGCTAGTAAGTGTCAAGTGTTTGGTCTGAGGTCACATTTGAACTCAGGTCCTCCTGACTTTAGGGCTGGTGCTCTATCCACTTCACCACCTAGCTGCCCTGCCATTGGGCTCTTTTCCAATGAGTTCTATCTTCTCATTATGTGGCCAGAGTATTTAACTTTCAGCTTCAGTATTTGACCTTCCAATGGATAGTCTGAATTAATTTCTTTTAAGCATTGACTGATTTGATCTCCTTACTGTCCAGGTGACCCTCAAAATTCTTCTCCAGTATCACAATTCGAAAGTGTCAATTCTGCATCACTCAGCTTTCCTTATAATCCAACTCTCACAGCCATACATTGCTACTGGAAAAACTATAGCTTTGACTCTATGGATTGTGGTTGGCAAGGTGATGTCTCTGCTTTTTAGCATGCTGCCCAGATTTGCCATAATTTCCCACAAATAGATACAAAACAAGCTATATCCATGATAATTAATAGAGAGAAAGCACTGGAATGAAGAGGGGAAGCTTTCTGTAGAAGGTGGGATTTTAAATGGAACCTAAAGGAAGCCAGGGAGGTCGGTAAGCAGAGAGGAGGAGGAAGAGTATTCCAAGCATGGGAAACAACCAGAAAGAACGTCCAAGCTGAGAGATGGAGTTTCTGGTTTATGGAATAGCCAGGAGGTCTGTGTCATTGGACCAAAGAGCACATGTTGAGGAGCAGGGTATAAGAAGACTTGGAAAGCTTATGAAAGGGTTTAGAGTCTCATTTCTTTGAATGTATGGGGAGGAAGAAGGATGTCCTGCTGAATTAACAAAAAATAACAATTGCAGAATATTTTTTAAAAATATAGTTTCACTGGTAGGAGAAAGCTCTATCCAGTGCTGACTAATCTAATCTTTCCTTAAAAGATACTGAAAACATCTTCAAGACTTAATTAATAGGGGCAGCTAGGTCACACAGTAGATAGAGCACCAGCCCTGAAGTCAGAAGGACCTGAGTTCAAATCTTGCCTGAGACACTTGACATTTACTAGTTGTATGACCCTGGGCATACAATAGGGCAACCCTATTGCTTGGCCTCCCTCCCCTCCCCCCCAAAAAGATTTAATTAACTCAGTGCATTAAGTCTAGGGCAATGGACACAAATTCTTGGTATCCTACAATGGACATAGCATGTAGCTAGGTGGTGCACTGGATAGAGCACCGGGCCTGTGGTCAAGAAGGATTGAGTTGAAATCTAACCAGAACATGTAATAGTGGTGTGACCCTGGGTGAGTCACTTAACCTTGTTAGCCTCAGTTTCTTCATCTGTAAAATGAGCTAGAAAAAGAAATGACAAAGCAGTCCAGTATCTTTGCCAAGAACACCCTAAATGGGGTCATGATGAGTTAGACACAACTGAAAATGACTGAAAAACAGCAGTAGACACAAAATAACTAGGACATGAGAATATACTCCTGCCTTCAGTTTCTGACTGGTAGGTCAACTGAGGCTGCATCCTAGCCAAATAGCCTTATGAAAAAATGATCTTTCTTTCATTATTGTCAGATGTTATATAATTGTCTCATTCATATTTTATAATTGTCTCATTTCATTCCAATCTTGAACCTGAACTACTACAGCAGATCTTGTTCAGGCCTGGACTTTATCCTACCAGTGTATGTGGGCTGCTGTGGACAGGCTTTGAAAAGCCAGGGTAGGTCTTCCCACCTCAATGGGAGTACTTGGTACATAGCTAAGTGCTATATAAACATTAGCTGCTGCTGCTACTTCACTCTTTACTTTGAAGTTTAGGCAATCCCACTTTGCAATTCTCTGCGTGGTATATTTTCCTCCTTATATTTTATGCCTGCCAATAATGATGTACGTTTCTTACTTCCATTCTTTACATGAGACTATGGGTATCCACTGAGGTGCACATATGCAAATAAAATATAGTCAGAATACTGGTAAGTCATCTTTCTGGCTACCCTTGTCTTGTGTTCACTATAAAAGCAATTGCATCAGCTCCTTCATTTGTCTCTCCAAGGAAGACGTGATAGTCATTCTTACATTTAGAGGAACTTTTTTTTTCCTTTGTGTTATTCTTTTTCCTTTGTGTTATTCTGATAATGAGAATTATCATTATCATCATTATGCAGATTAGCATAATACAGCAAGTCCACTGGAATGTCCAGCTGTTGGTCATTGGACAAGGATGTCACACACCAATAGCCAAACTGGAGTTGATAGAGGGGCTAAAAGTGTAATTACTTACTATTTGCCTTACTATTCACCAACCTTTGACTGGTACTGCAAATCAGAAGGACATCACGCTAGGGAAAGTACATTTTGTATTTTATATTGTTTCAAGGCTTACCATGGCTAAATTATTCATCACCAAGTGGTCAGCATATTGATGATAGAGCTTTTTCTGTATTTAACTATGCTGATCCCTAGAAAGGATGTGGGGGTTTTGGGGGGGAGGGTGGGGAAGCCAGGGACATCCTAGCAGTATTACCACTGTGGCAAAACCTGTTATAGCTTGGACTCTGGTAACATAGCCCTTCAGAAACCATAGTCACCTCCATATCAAGAAGAGGCCTTTTAATAAGATTTAGGAGAGGAAATTCTTACTTAATAAAAATTATGTACATTGTGTCCTAATCCGCACCAGGTCCAATTTACCTAATTGGGCCAAAACAAATAAAATTTCATTACATTTTCTATTTATTTTCTATGCTATATTTCTGATTTCTAGCAGAAAAATCAGAGGTGTTGTCTTTCCCCATTAGAACATGAGCTTCTGAAAAGCAAAGATTATCTTTCTTTTCTATTTGTTTCTCCCATGCTTTGCACATAGCAAATGTGCAAATTACTCCTCATTCATTTATTCAATGAATGCCTTTCTTTTGCAACAAATGTGAATTCTTCCAAATCACTGATATAACATTAAATTGTAAGTTTCTTTCATCTTTTTTTTGTATCACCCATTCTTAGCGCAGTGCCTGGCACATAGCATTTGTATAATGAATGTTTCTTGATTACTTGATAACATATTAGAAATTTTGCCCGTGTCTCCATAATGCCAACAATATCTAGATATAAACAAGAATTTCAGATTGTCTGAATGTTTTAGTCTCAGGCTATTATATATTTGTGGAGACAAAGTATTGTGGGTGATTAACTGGCTACTTCATTGTTCATCTGTGTGTTTGATGTGGATATAGACAGCACCTGAATAGAGGATGTGCTCTGGAATTTTTTTTTAACTTCACAAATTTTTACTATACTGAGAAAGGAATATTTCACAAAAAATTAATCCATTGAAAAATCTCACCTTGGCAGCATTTAATGCAGCCCCATAGCCAGTGGAGAATGCACAGCCAATCAAACACACCTTCTCAGGAGGAGCAGCAGCATCGATTTTAGTTACCAAAAATTCTGAGGTCACTGTGTACTCAGTAAAGGAACTGAACTTGAGGAAGTGGTAGACCGGTTTCCCTTTGCAGGTAAATCTGGTGGTGCCATCAGACCGTACTCCTTGATCTGTACTATTTAATGTCAAAAGCAGCAGTAAACAAATTGGTATGAGGGCAATTAAAATTAAATTTCAGTAAACATGACTTACTTTAACAACATCTCCATACAGAAATTGCCATTAGTGTTTATGCAGGAAGAGCACTTTCCACAGTGTGAAATGGAGAGTGGAATGACCTTATCTCCTGAAAGAGAAAAGATCATGATGCAAAATATTGCCTTAGAAACAACCAGCTGAATAATCTATCCAACAAAAATGCTGAACTCGAGGGATACTCCATGAGCAGTCTATGAAGAGAGAAAGGACTCCCAGGACCTTTAGAGCCAGGAGTTAAAAATTGTCTTTGCTAGATGTATATCTGCTGCATACCTTACTGCCATTATAATCTAAATATGAACCCACTCTTATCATGGACACTGTGTGTATTTGTCAGAGAGTGTACCCAAGGTTTATGGGATGGAGTGGTATACTATTTGTGTCTGTAGGCCAATTCTTAATGGGAATGCCTCTAATGGGGGCTAATGACCTATAGTGTTCCAAGTACAGACCCAAAGGGATACTCTAGAACCTGAAGTATCAGCCAACCTTTAGGGAGTACTGCAGAGGTCAGCGCCACATTTGTATGAGCAGATACAGAGTGGGAAAAAAACCAACAACCCAGAACCAGAAGAATAAAATGTTCAACTAGAATAATGTAAATGAAAATGATGGTAAAAGGAAGTCAAACTGTCAGTACCTACAAAAAACAATATTGGTCCTGGAGAATAAAGAATGAAATATACTTCTCTCATCTTGTTAGAAAAAAATGGTGGCAGAATTCATTGTCAGATGTTGTCACCTTGTCAGCTCTATTGGCTAAGCTGTCTTTCTTTCTTTCTTTCTTTTTTTCTTTCTTTCTTTCTTTCTTTCTTTGGCAATTGGGGTTTAGTGACTTCCAGGATCACCCAGCTAGTAAGTGTCAGTGTTTGGTCTGAGGCCAGATTCGAACTCAGGTCCTCCTGACTTCAGGGCTGGTACTCTATCCACTGCACCACCTAGCTGCCTAGCTAAGCTGTTTTTCTAATGGCATTGGGGTATATTCAAAAATGACTATAATGAAGAAAAAAGCCACCAATGAAATTAATTTTTATGAGGAAAATCCTTGTTATAAAAATTAGGGTGACCTATTTCCTTTTTCTTCATTTAACTAGTGTCTTGCTCAATATCCCCATACCACAGGGGGTTCTCAATTTTCTTTTTCTGTCTCAGACACTTTTGGAAGTCTGGTAAAGTCTGCGGACCCCTTCTTAGGAAAAGTAAATATTTTTATGTGCATGAAATAGGATTTTGAAAAATAGTCAATTATTTTGAAATACAGTTATCAATTAAAACAAAAAACAAATTCATATACCCAAGGTTAAAGACTCCTGCCTCACCTGGTTTCACTGTTGTTACCCCTTCTCCAATACTCTCTACAATCCCAGTTGCTTCATGTCCTAAAATTACTGGAAAAGGGGTATACAGATTTCCAGTGACTGCATTGTCATCTGTGTGGCAGATTCCTGTGGCCAAAATCTGTATAGAAAGAGAAAGCTCACTGAACTTTTGGGGTAAAACCTTTTCATTTTAAGCATTTAAATCATTCTTGAGTGAAATTCAATTTATCTTCAAAGTCAACCCCCTTTTATAAATATATCAGTGCTTACATTGTGCTGGGTGCCTAGTATTTAGCACAAGACTCCTGTCCTAAGAAAGCTTATATTGTGAGAGAATATTGCCCAATGTGAAAGCTGCTTGTCAAATGTAGTGAAATGCAAAGTGTTCAATTTGGGGAACCAACCAAGGTGTGATCACCTCAACAAAGATCATATGATAAGACTATGTCTAATTTATTTTTCTTTTTACAGATGACAAAGCACTTTTCCCTTGGGATGACTCAGAGAGGAAGATCAACAGGGAAGGGGGCTTTTTCAAAAGACCAGACTAGTATTAACAATCCCAGCATCAGATGTAAGAAACTGTTTTTGCCAAAAGATTGGAAAGCTGTGAATCTTTATTTAACATGAAAACATGAAAAGGTAACATGAAAAAGTCAAATTGAAATTGATGGTACTTTGCACACTAGAGAAAATATAAAGGGCTATGGCTTGGACTGTTTTGAAGATATACCACAGGAGAAAGCCAGGAAAGAGAGTAGGAAAGATTTTAGGATGTTAGTCATTAATCAAGGAACACAGAATTATTTATTTATGTACATGAAAAACAATGATAACAAATTCATAAGAATGTCATCTAAATTTGTTTTATTATGTTTATGGTCATGTATTTAATTGTAAGTGCATATCAATTTAAAAAATAAATCCCAATTCAATTCAACAAGGCCTTATCAACTTCCTGCTATATGTGAGACACAGACCTAAGTGCCAGGGATGTAAAAACAAAATAATTCCTGCCCTCAGGGAGCTTACATTCCACTGAGGGATAAAAATGTGTACACAGATTAGTAAATACAAAATATATACTAATTAATATGTTGATTTGGGGTTCTGGGGAGAGGGCCATCAACTAAGGAGGGGATGATCAGGAAAGGTAGCACTTGAGCTGAGACTTGAAGGGAGCGCAAGATCCCAAAAGGAGGTGATGAGAAAGGAGGGCATTGCAGGTATAGAGCCTATGCAAATGATGGAGGTGAGAAGTGTAACATTGTGCAAAGAGGACAAAAAGTAGGTCAGTTTGGCTGGAATTAAAGGGAACAATGTGAAATCAGTCTGGACTAATTGTTTGGAGCCTGATTGTGAAGGGATTTAAATGTCAAGCAGAAGAATGTCGTATTTTATCAAAGAGGCTGAATCTTCCTGTTTTGGACAGTGACTTGGTGAGACTGAGGCTTTAGGGATGTATATTCAGCAGTTTTTTAGAGGATAGACTGGACAAGGGACCCATAATGAGACTATAGTAATTGACAAAGCAAGAAATAAAGAAGGTGTGAACATGGATGTGGGGCATGTTAATGCAGAGGAGAGACCAATTGTGAAGGAAGTTGATGAGGTAAGATAAAGACTTACTCATGGGGGATAAGGGAAATCAAGTAGTTGAAGATGTCTTTGAATCTGCAAACCTCACTGACTGGAAGGATGGTGTTGACTTGTGATAGAAATAGGGGTATTAGAAAGGATGAACTTGGTGGATTTTGGCCATCTTGAATTTGAGATGATAATGATGCATTCAGAGGTGGAGAGCTCCAGGAGATGGTTGGTTGTGTATGACTGAAGCTCGGAAGAAAGATGAGGGCAAGCAGTACATGGATTTTCCAATCCTTGGCATAGACATGTGAGCTGATGAGGTTGAAGAAAGAGACAAGATAGCATGAGAAGGAAAGATGTCTCAGAACAGACCCCTAAAAAGTACACTCACACATAGAGAGTGGGAAATAAATGATGAGCCTGCAAAGGAGACTGAGAAGTGAGAGGTAAGAGGAGAATCAGGAGAAACCAGGAATTGGGAAAAACCAGGAGGAAAAAGCCTCTACAGTGAAAAAGTAAGTGGTCAACAGTGTGAAATGCTATAGAGAGGTCATGGAAGATGGGAACCAGAAAAGACAACTGGAGATCATAGTTAAGAGAACAACCACCCAGAAAAATAAAAAAATTAATGGTTATAAAATTACAAATAATAAACCTAGGCCCCAAATTAAAAACAAGAAAGATGGCTGCCCTGTAACTCCTTTGCAGAATCATGGCACCCACCCATCTGTATGTAATGTTGCATGGTCTGTTTTGGTCTGTTATGTCTGTCAGATTTTTTTTTTTAGTATATCTATTGGTTTCACTGAATTTTTTTTCTTTTTTTTTCCTCTTTTTTAAAATCTTCGTAATGAGATGGATGGCTCTCCCAAAGGATGAGGGGGATATGAAAGTCATGTAAAAACAAAACTTATAAATAAATATGAATTTTTCCTTTTCCACATTTCTGTAGAAGGCCATACCACCTTCCCATCATACTTCAGGTTCACTACCTAGGAATCATGGATTTCCCACTGTCTCTATCCCACATATCCAATCTGTCATCTTTGCATCATCTCTCCAAAATGCCCCCTTATCTCCTCTGACACTGTCATCACTCTGGTGCTTGCCCTCATCACTCCATGCTTTGATTACTACAGTAGCTCCTGCTGGGTGGGTTGCTTCAAGTCTCTTCCATGTCCAATTCATTCTCCATTCAGCCACTAAAGTGATTTTCCTAAAATGACCCTTCCCCTCCCCCCCAATAAATTCTAGTGACTTTGTGGGTATCCAAGAAAACTAAAGTAGTGCTGATGGGGTGCTTGGGTGCTTGTACTCAGACCTCACTTCTAAGAAGTTGCAAGTTTATGTCCATAGCCTCAAGGCACTATCTGTGACAGTTTCCTCCAGCCCAAAGACCTTTTCTCTAGCAATAACTCATGAGTGGGTCCAGTGAGGCAAACTATCTCTCCCTGTTACAAGAACAAGGTGACTGCTGTAGAATTTCCCTTGTATGAACAGGACTATCTTGTGCCAGCAGAACTATCATGTACTGATGCCCACAGTTACCATATACAATCAAGCTATAGACATCAGCTCCTGAAACTATCTTGTTACAGACATAACAGACCAAAAATACACCCTTTAGGAACCCTCTCTACCTCCCCCCCCCACCGTTGCCAGTAGTGAATGATGCCTGTGACTAAGTTTGTATGTTATCACCTAATTAGCACACTTGCCACTTAATCCACTACTTTTCTTATATAAGCTTTAGCATCATTCCTGTTAGGTTGCAAGTTCCCTAAGGAGCTCTGTCCATCATGGCAGGTTCCTTGAGAATCTTTGTCCACTGAATAGCATTACAATAAATCTTTGCCACCTTGACTTAAAGAATTCTTGAGTCTGTGAATTCATTCCAGACGACCTCGTCCTATACTCTGGTCCTTAAAGTGTCTAAACCTCTCACACCACAACAATGCCATTTTGTCTATAGGTCCTTGATCTAGCCCCTGACCCTGTTGGTACTGCAACTCCTACCCTGTTTGTGACCTTCCTTACTGCTGAAACAGTAAGGGCAGTCCTATCCATTAGGGTGGTAGCTCACCTGAAGAAGATCCTTTCCTGTTGCTAGCCTTAACCACCGGCTCTGACCAATTGAGGGACACCACTAGCCTGCAAGTCCCCAGCAATGGGTCTTGTCCAAGCCTGAGGTACCCCATACCCAATTCAACTTCTGCCCAAATCAAAATATAATCCAAGCTTTGTCCTGTTTTACCTTGGGGAGCGTACAGGTGGGGCTCCCTTGCTATCAAATTCAACAAATCCTGTTGGTTCTTACATTTTGGGTTTGGGTTTGTTTTAGTTCTGGTTCTGGTTTGTTCTGGCACTTGCAGCTTTACCCATAGCTTCCTATTGCCTCCAGGAGCAAATACAAATGCTCTGTTTGGCATTCAAAGCCCTTCGTATCCTATCCCCTTCTACCTCTCCAGTCTTCTTCTCCCTTACTCCCTGATACACAGTCTTCAGTACAGTGACATTGGCTTCCTGGCTGTTCCATGAACAAGACACTCCATCTCTTGGCTCTGGGCACTTTCTTTGACTGGAAACTCCATGCCTGGAACACTCTCTTTCCTCCTCTCTGACTACCAATCTCTCTGAATCCCTTTAAGTCCCAACTAAAATCCCACCTTTTATAGGAAGCCTTCCTCAACTCCTCTTAATTCTACAGCCTTTCTTGATTACTTATTTCCTATTTATACAGTAGATAGCTTGCTTTGTATATATGTGTTTACATCCTGTCTTCCCCATTAGATCGTAAGTTCCTTGAGGGCAGGGACCGTCTTTTGCCTCTTTTTGTTTCCCCAGAGGTTAGCACAGTGCTTGGGCAATAGTAGGCACTTTAAAATGTCTACTTGACTGGAGGGCAGCTAAGTGGATAGAGCACCTGCCCTAGAATCAGGAGGACCTGAGTTCAAATCCAGCCTCAGATACATAACACTTACTAGTAGCTGTGTTGACTCTAGGCAAATCACTTAACCCCAATTGCCTGGACAAAACAAAACAAAACAAAAAAACCCCAAACACCCAAATGTTGACTTGACTGACTGATTGATATTAAGAATATAAAGTCAGTAATGAAAAGAGATTTTTTTTTTGTTTTCCTTAAAGATCATTGTTATAGGGGGCAGCTAGGTGGTGCAATGGATAGAGCTCTGGCCTTGGAGTCAGGAGGACCTGAGTTCAAATTAGACTTCATACACTTGACACTTATTAGCTGTGTGACCCTTGACAAGTCATTAACCCCAATTGCCTTAAAAAAAAAAAAATCATTCGACACAGTGTTTGAGTCAGATTGTGAGCTGCTGTGATTGGCAGGTGATGTGAAAAAATGAAGACCACAGAAATCAATAACTTTTCTAGGAGTCTGGGTATGGAAGAGAGAGGAGATGTTAAAGAATAAGTTAGGGCGGAGCAGGTTCACATTTAGGTTTTTGAAGGATTGGGAGGCTTGGGCATATTTATCAGTGTATGAGCTAGTGAATAATGAAAGATTAAAGATGAGAAAGAATGGAGGATGGGAGCCCCAAGCTCTCAGAGGAGACAAGAAGAGCTGAGATAAAAGGCCTGAGTAGGGGGGCTGGTATTGGCAAGGAGAAAAGTAATCTCTTCCCCTTGGCCCACAGCAAAAGAGGAGAGAACAGGAAATGGTACTGAGAGTATCTGAGGCGTAGAATCCAGGACAATGATGAGCTCATGATAGACAGGTGACTTGCCCAGAGTCACATAACTGTTAAATGTCTGAAGTCACTTCTGAACTCAGGTCTTCTTGACTCCAGGCCCAGTGTTCTATCCTCTGTTCCTCCTAGCTATCTTGTATTTGAGTCCTAGGAGACTTTTGTAAGAAATCTTTTATTATTATTATTATTATTATTATTATGCAATACTATTTAAAAAAGGAAAGAAAGAGTCATAGTCTAGCTCAAATATGCAAGTGAATCTGTAATCTCATTGATTAGATGTTGCATTCAGCAATGTAGACTGCAACCTCTCTAAGGCTGTCTAACCCAATTAGGTAACTCCTGTCTATTTCCATCTCCAAGTCCCCCACCAATATACTATGGTCCTTTTGGAGCACACAGAGCCGTCTACCAGCTCACTTTATTTTCTTATCATCCTGTCTTCTTGTGGGATCAGACATTTCCCTAATGACATCCTTTATTTGAGTGATTCCTTTGCTCACACTCACTATGCATCTCTTCACTGCTCACTAATTGATAACCATCTTGAATTCATCTACCAGATGTTGATTTTAAATTCTTCTGTGATATGTACGTGTATATGTATATATCTTTCTACATATAATATAGATATGTGACATATAGCACATTATATATCTCTACAATAGTATGTATTAATAATATATAATATGTATCTTGGACAGAAAAATGTGTATATAAATTCTTTTATAACTCATAGCTGAACAATACTTCAGATACAATACTGGTTTTAATATCAAGCACTTAGATTGCACCTTAAGATTTGCAAAGAACTTTACACGTCTTAACTCATTTGATCCTTAAAACTACACTTCAAGGTAGATGCTTTTATTATCCCCAATTAACAGATCAGGAAACTGAGGCAAACAGAAGTTAAGTAACTTGACCAGACCAGTTTGAGGATGGTGATGCTCTCAATAAAAATGGAGATGTCCAGAGGAGGGGGTGGGTTTTAGGATTAAGCAAATGAGTTCTATTTGGGACACTTAGAGTTTGAGCTGATTCCAAAACATCCAGGAAATTAATTGAGATGGGATTGGAATTCAGTACTTTAGGACTCCAGGCCCTTTAATCTTTTAAAAAGATTGTTCTTCTTTTTTTAGAAATGTGGAGGTAGTAAGTTAGCTTTGCACTTTCTTGAAAGCAATCCAATCTGCTCTCCTTTTCCTGTTTAATTCTGGAATCAACTGGAGCATTCTATGTGTCTGTCCAAGATATAGATGGATAGGTGGAAAGGTAAATATATATATATATACATATAATGTAGACATAGATAAATCTACATATCTATAATATATCTATATTTAATATAGACATATTTAATATAGATATATGGCTACATATCTATATTTAGTATAGATATATGCAACATTATATATTAAATATCTATTTTTGGTATGGGTTAGTATATATAATATATATCTTGGACAGATACCGGTGTATATGTATACATGCTTATGTATATAAATATATATATATATGCATATATGCATATACATAGGAGATATATATATAGATAGATAAGTAGATAGATACACATAGATATAGATATAGATATAGATATAGACATAGACATAGACATAGACATAGACATAGATATAGATATAGATACAGATATAGATATAGATATGCAGGTACTGATGGATATGTTCTCATAAGTTGCCCATCTAACTGCATGTCATAATCTACGCAGTTGGCATTTCTCATCAACTTGGTTGTCTTCTCTGAATAGCTAGGTGAGAGAGAGACTGAGTAGTGAGTGAGTGAGTAAGAGAGAGAACAATTATTTGGAATGGTATTAAACTCAGGTGTTGACTGAGTTCTACAATATAACTTAAGACTTGGGTTCAAGTCCCATCTTTGGCATATACTGGCTGTGTGAGCCTGGGCAAATCATCAAACTTATTAACGCCACCAGGCAATTGTCTCTGCCTAATCAATCATCTCTTTTAGTAAATTGATTGTAACTATTAAGTGTTGCTTTATGTCTTTGGAATAAAAAAAAAGTTGCAAAAATTGCAAAGCAATACCAATCTGCATTGGTCTACAGAGTTTCCTCTTTGGGAGTTCCCTACATGAAAGAAATTGCAGGTCTTTTAAGGGGAAAAAAAGCCCATGTTAGGAATTTCAGTACCTTAAGTCGAATTTCATGGGCTTTTGGTGGGGCCACTTCTACATCCTCGATGGAAAAGGGCTGCTTCAGGCCCCACAACACAGCAGCTTTGCATTTAATCACCTGGGAAAACAGCAAGAACGTATTTATGTGACATATTCAGGTACCCATAACTGCTGACCATCTGACTAACTGAGCCTGAGAAAGTCAATTGCAAGAAGCATTCTATCAGCGTAGGCTGTCAATCTAACACCCTGTCGAGCCCAGGACTTTTCCCATGCATTTGCAAACTTAACCTCACAAAACTATTACCTCTGGAGAAATGCCTGCCTCTTAGAATACTGGAGCCATTGGTACAAGAGGCATTTGAAGAGAGGCAGAGTAAATTTGCAGCTTTCAGTGAAACTGTGGGTCCAGAAGTGGAAAAAGGAAGAGACTGTGCAAATCTTCTGTGCACAGCTTAGAGGAGCTGAGCCTGGGAGCTGAATCCCGGGGAGAACTGGTCTACTAGCTGGCAGCCTCCACATCCAAAGGATTTTCCCCACAAAGCTACCATTTCTTCCCCTGTTTGTGTCTTACTGCCCCATACGGTATTTCGTTAATTAGGGATTCAGTTGGGTTAAAGGAAATCTTTTAAAAACCAAATACTGACTGTCAGTCACTAACATCATTGTGAATTCATCCAATTAGCAGCACAGGAATGACTGAAAGAATGAAAATTCAATTCAGAGAAAGCATTGAATTGAGTCTACTTACTAGTGATGTGACCTTAGGCAAGTCATTTAACTTTTCTCCACTTCAGTTTCCTCATCTATTAAATAAGTAGAATTTCTTTTTGCTTTGTGTGGTGGTTGTGAGAATTACATTTACTATCTGGGAAAGCTTTATAAACTATAAAGTTCTACCAGGTGTTCTTAACCTCTAGCATCTGTAAACTTTTGAATTTACATTTTGGTAACTGAACTGCAATGTCATTGATTTCCTTTGTTATTCTATTTTATGCTATGCATTTTAAAATTTTATTCTGAGATGGGGTCCAAAGGCTTTACCAGGTCAGATGAGGGGGTCTAGGACTCATACAAAAGGTTAAGAATTTCTGCTCTAGTCACATACTCAGTTATTATACTGCTCACATAATAGCCTTACTTCTTACATAGCTAAGTGATAAAAATCACATCCTTAACCAATATCATTCAGTTCGGTAGTTTTTCTGTCATGTTCAACTCTTCCTGACCCCATTTGAAGTTTTCTTGGCAAAGACATTGGAGTGGTCTGTCATTTCCTTTTCCAGGTCATTTTACAGATGAGGAAACTGAGCTCAGTGACTTGCCTGAGGTCACGCAGCTAGTAAGTGTCTGAGGCCACATTTGAACTCAGGAAGATGAGTCTTCCTGATTCCAAGCCCAGTGCCCTCTCTACTTTGCCACCTAGCTGCTCAACTAACTGACATCATGGGCGTGCTCAATCCTTTGGTTCTAATATAAGAAACCTTTAGGGTTTCTATGCTTAGCATTCTATCAATTAACTGTTTCAAAATACAATATTCAGAATAGAAAGTGTTAAGTTTCTAGTAAAAATAGGGAAAACTATATCGTTCAGAGCATGAGAAAGGAAATTTAAATAAGATAGGCAAATGTCTGATCCAGGACATTCATGCTTCCTTTACCACTGTCAAGGTAGTGTCTGGGTTAAAGGTGCCTCAGTGGTCATAAACATAAGAATGTTCTTGGTCAGTTTCAGCTCTTGACACTGGAAGAGATACTCTTGGTTCGCTCAGGAAGAAAAGATAAATTCAGGTTTTTGGCCTTATTGGGGCTCACTTAATGTTAAATATTATCAGGGCAAAGGAATAGAGAAAGGATCTTCTTCCCCTCTCATTTCCATCCTGCAGCAGTGAAACTTTCCCCTCAATATTTTTGATACGGGCTTGCTTTTATCTAGGCAAATCTCATCCCTCTTTAGGATATACTTCTCTAAATAACAATTAACATAAAGGAAAGTTGCAATTACAAATCTTGCTAGTTCATGATAAAGAAACAGAAATATTTTCCTTACTTTTCCAGCAGTATTCATCTTGTCTCTCTTATTTCCAGTGTTTTATTATGTGAGAGATGATCTCTCAGAATTGAAGCCTCCTCAAGAGGGTCATTAGTTCTTGTTAGTGGTTCTGATACTGTTGCTTTCAAAACCCTCCCCCAAAAGGAATAACCCTGCCCCCAGCCTGAACTGTTTGTCCTTGCAGGGCTTCCTACCTTTTCTTGTCTGGGGCAAACTTGTGTAATGGCCTTGCTCTGTGTTCATAAATGGATTGTGCACCCTGAAGCCCAGCCAATGGGATAAGGGGAAGTGGGTTAGGGAGGGGTTTCCTAGGAATTACATAACTCATGGGAATTCGGCCCTAAAGTCCCCTTGATGGCCACACCACTGCCACATCAGCATTAAGTGGAACTATTTCTCTGAAGAAATCAGCATTCTTCAGAGAAATAGTTCCATTCAAAAGCAATACCTTCCTAAACGCAGCCAGGTCCCACCTACCCTTTCAATGTTTAACTTTTGAAAGGAAAAAAAAAAAATCAGCAACCACGTGATGCATCTAAGGGAAGGGAGAGTATTTTCCTTGTCTTTCAGGAATTTTCAGTTGTGTCTGACTCTTCACGACCCATTTGGGGTTTTCTTGGCAAAGATACTGGAATGGTTTGCCATTTATTTCTCCAGCTCATTTTACAGATGAGGAAACTGAGTCCAACAGGGTAAAGTGACTTGCCTAGGGTTGCCCAGCTAGCAAGTGTCTGAAGCCAGATTTGAACTCAGAAAGATGAGTCTTCCTAACTCCTGGCCCAGCACTCTATCCATTCCACCACCTAACTGTCCTGAGAGTATAGTCAATGAGAAATTGTAGCGGTCTACGTTGTTAGGAACCCCAAAATGCAAGGATACAGGGCAAGGGTCCGCCTCGAAAAAAATTGACCACTTCAAGCCTTCTTTCAATCCAACTAGTGAGTTTATTGTAACAGCAACAGAAGTGGGTCAGACTCCTTGTGAGTCTGCAGTATTGGTGATGCCAGTACAAGTAGGACAGATTTTAAGAATCTGCAGGCTTGGGGGCAGCTAGGTGGCACAGTAGATAGAGCACTAGCCCTGGATTCAGGAGGACCTGAGTTCAAATGTGGCCTCAGACACATAACACCTACTAGCTGTGTGACTCTGGGCAAGTCACTTAACCCCATTGCCTAGCTGAGAAAAAAAAAAGAATCTGCAGGCTTTAATTGAGCAGGATCTACACTTTTATACAGACTCTAGGAAGATGAGATTAAGGGGTGGTAAGTAGCCTGGTGTGGTCGAGAGGTAACAGAGAAAGAGGCCTGGAGAAGTATCAAGTAAGCTAATTAAGTGGTCCAGGTGGGCTGAGGTGGGCCAGACTAACATCAGGGACTAGGTTCCAAAATTTGTGGGAAAGTTCAAGGGCCTTTCCTTTTAGTGATTCAGATCCCCCCCCAACTGATGACAAAACATCCTTTTCATCTTTGTAGCTACATAATGCCAAAACTGTTCAGACTGCACCCCAAAAATTTAAACTCTCACATTTTCCTGGACAGATTTTTTTTTAAAGGCAGTGAGAGCAATTTCTATTTCCCATTTTGCTGTTCTAGTCATCATCTCAGGCCCACAGGGGTAACTATATCCCATATTGACATCATCAGTCAATTCTCAAATCGGAGAAGGAGGGACCACATGAGGAGATCCTTCTCAAGACAAGACGAATAAGCTGGGAAAAGATAAAGCATTACGTCTTCAAGATCTACTTGCTGTGTCCAAGGAAGAATGAACAATATGGATTTCTTTTGATCCTGTGAAAAATTTCCTGAAATTAACATGTCTGTTTTCTTTTTTTCTCTCACATTTCTTTAATTTATTATTAATTTGTGAAATAAAACAAACGTTTTCATAACATAGTATAATAAAAAAGATGATTGTACATAAAACTGCAAATCTATTTTACACAGCTTTCTGTTCCTTTTAAATATAGAATAAAGTTATCACGAAAATTTTTTCATCCTTTTTTTTTCCTTCCCTCTCCCTTGTTATACAGATATGGTGGACACAGAGTAAGCCTAGTTGCCAAAAGGAACCGATCAAGAGCCTGCAGTGAGCGAGAAGTCTTGCTCACAAGCTTTGCTGGTGTACTTTAGCTGTGCACTTCAAATTGGCCGGAACCATTCTGCCTCTGTGTCCCACTTGTTCCTGAAAGGGATTCTCCACTAAAAGTCGCTCTCCCCTCTGTCCCCTCCCCTTTTCAGTTTTCAAGCATCAGTTGTCCCTGCCCTTCCTGAATTTAGACTACATTGTCCTCTTGGACTTGGGTGCCTGACATGCATATCTAATATCTTTCCCTTTTAATAATTGTGTTCTGACTCAACCAGAACTCCTCTATATTACAGAGGTAGGATTTTCACAGTTTACAATCCTGACAACTGGGTGTTCCTTCAGAATTCCTTCCTGAACCAACTCTTTTGACCTGGGGTCATGAGTTTTGGGTGTTTGTTTCCCTAACTACTCTTGGGTTGAGAGGGAAAAAGATAAAACTGTACTGATTTGGCAATACACATTGGTCAATACTGTTCTTTCTATAACTTTATAATCAGTATTTGACTCTTTTAGTCCTGCTCTTTCCTGTGTCTTTTTTTGTTTGCTTGTTGGTTGGTTTGGGGGGTTTTTTTGGGCAATTGGGGTTAAGTGACTTGCCCAAGGTCACAAAGCTAGTAAGTGTCAAGTGTTTGGTCTGAGGCTGGATTTGAACTCAGGTCCTCCTGACTTCAGGGCCAGTGCTCTATCCACCATGCCACCTAGCTGCCCCCTTTCCTGTGTCTTTTGATATGGCAAGTTACTGAATACTGAAACTACAGGTAACTTCAGATGTTCCCTGTTTTTTCAAATTGGGTGTTGGCAGGCAAACCCAAAAGACAACAATTAAAGGTTTCCATATTTGAACCTAAGTCCATGTGGATGCAGAATGGATGCAATCCCCTCCAATAAATGTATAGGCACTCATCTGGAATTTAGATTGGTTTGGGGGTGTCTAAACTCGGACTGAAGAGGTCTAGAGGTTTTTGTGGGGTCCTGCTGGGAACCCCAAAATCGTGACGCTGGGCCCTGTTTGAAAGAATTCAACTCAAATCTTCTTCCAGCCAGAGAAAAAGTTTAGTAGTGATAAAACACTTAGGCCAGGTGATGCCCTGAAGGAAGAGCAGGCATGAGTAAGTCTCAGCCATTTGAGCATGAGATTCTCAGCTTCTGAATGGGGACCAGGGTAGGTCTTATATACTAAAGTGACTTTGGGTGACCAGGGAAGGGTCTGGGAAAAACGGCTGAGGAAAAGGGTCTGGGTGAGAATTCCAATTGGAATGTCTAAAGAGATTGAATAGACAATGGGAATAGATAACGAAGGAACAGAAAGGCATCTGAATGAGATCAAAAAGTTGGGGCCGGGGCTTTCAAAGGGAGATAAGGGGAGTTGATAAGGAACCATTTGAGACCAGAGTAAGGGCTTTCTGGGGCCCAAAGACAAAAAGGAAGCCAGTTTCTTTTAGGGCGAGGGGCAAAGGCACATCTGAATAAGATTAAAAGATAAGGCTAAGGCTTTCAAAGGGAGATGAGGGGCTGGGGCCTGTAGACAAATGGGAGTCAGATTCCCTTTGGTGCAAGGGGCTATGATCTTGGCTTTGGTCCCCCCATCAAGACCACCTCCACAACATGGCTAGGATCCACTGATGTACTTTTTGTGTGTCTAGGCTCTTAGTGGATTTTCAGGCTAAGTTACACTGAAGTTTACAAAGCCCAAGCTGCCAACAGAGCATAGTCTTATTCAGCAGAGACCTGACTAGCAAATCTAGCTTGAGTCTAGGAACCATCATGGTGGCTGCTATGGTTCTCTGGTCACTCTTCCCCCCTTCGTCAAAGACTTCAGTGCCTACCTCCCAGTTCCTCTCCACCCCATCTCTTACCCTTAATCTAAGGAACTTCAATGTGCTTTTTGGTGTTCTCTCAGGTACCTTGACCTCCCAACTCCCCAATCTTCTTCATTCTTAAGATCTACAACTCCATTCCACTGGAGTTTATTAAATTGGGGAAGTAATTTTGTCCAATGTGAGCTTTAGGAAAATCAACTTGCAGTGGTGTGCAGGATGGATCGGAGTGGGAAGAGACTTGAGTTGCAATAGTCCAGGTATGTGGTGATGAGGGGCTGCACCAGAGAGACAACAATGTGAGTGAAGAATATAGTGCATAGAGAAGAAATAAGGTGAAGGTAGAAATGAAAATACTTGGCCAAAGAACTTGTTATTTCTAGTAGAAGAGAGAGAAGGCCTGTAACTTTATACTAAGGTTGAAGAAGCTATTACCGAAGGCTATGATGAGTAGTGCAGCGGCCATGGAATGCATGGGTCATACCAGGCTCCATCAAATGACCAGAAAATTATATTTAATTGAATGTGGTTGTGTGAGAAGTTGACGTAGGACTGCTCCAAATTCAGAATGGACTTGCTTGATGGATTAGTGTTATTGTTCATCCTTCATTCTTCGTTTGTTTGGTTTTTTTTCTTTTTTGTTGTTGAGGCAGTTGGGGTTAAGTAACTTGCCCAAGGTCACACAGCTAGTAAGTTTCAAGTGTCTGAGGTCAGATTTGAACCCAGGTCCTCTTGACTGCAAGGCCAGAGCTCTTTTCTACTGTGCCTTAGCTGTCCTTGTTCATCTTTCATTTTTTTAATTTTATTTTGATTTTGATTTATTAACAATCACTTCCATATGCTTTTGAGTTGAAAATTTTTCTCCCCTTCCTCCCCCCCACCCTCCCCAAGACAGAGCACAATCTGATATAGGCTTTACATTTACATACCTATTAAACATTCTCACGTTAGTGAAGTTGTAAGTTCATCTTTCATTCTTAAAGTTGTCAGCCTCACTCTTTCAGAGTCATCAAAGTCCAGCGGCAAGACAAAGACCAAGATGACTGCTGATGGCCTTGGATGCAGTGGATGACCTTGGACTTTCTAAAGGTCTTTCCCAAGATTCAGCTTGTCTGAGGCAATGCTTATTCAATGACTGAAGGCTAGGTAAGAATTGAGATGAAACACGGCCTAATTTACCATCACAAAAGTATCAGTCTGGGAGAGGGAGACCCTCAAAGTTTCCGGCCAGAACAGAAAACTATTTACCCTCTTTCTAAGCCATCAAAACCTAAACAATGAGCCATAAAGGGAGCTGGGGACTCTTACTGGACATTCAATGG